ACTTGGCAGTGAGGAATAGAGGTTTTTTCAAAGACTTCAGATTGCTTCTTTTGATTTCTCAGCCAGTGTGAAATGAGATGAATGTGGAGCTGTTACCTTGTTTTGCTTGCTCATCTTCGTTATTTGCAGCCATTTCATGATATCTGCAGATTTGCTTGGCAACACTGAGATTCTGACTGGTTGTAGTTAATAGGTTGCTCGCTTTAGCTCTGTATTTTTGCACTGATTTTTTGTCAGGAGTATGAATCCTTGAGGAGTGTGAGACTTGTGGGATGATAACCTGAATAATGACTTAAGTGCTACCTAATAAAGTGAAGTTTCTTTACTGAGTCATTTCACTTGTCTTTTCAGTGATTTTTCTATTTTGAGAGATTAGTTTTCACACTTAATTGCTTTCTAGCTTACAGTATGGATGGTATTCATATCTGAATATCTGACAGTGTCTTTAAAAAGAGAACTGTTGGAGGATGTAACTTGATGACTGATTTTCGGAGCTGGATTTCGATTTTATTCTCATTCCACTGCTTATCACAGTACAGCTGTTGGGGAGACTGTGCCATAAACAGGATCATTGGAAAGAGCAGCCTTGAAGTGTAATCATGTAAATTGTGGTGGTTTTGTTACAGTTTAAGTAATTTAACTTGCAGTCAGGAGGCTGATGTGGACTTTCTGTGGCATTTATGCTGATAACAAGAGCTGCACAACAGTTACTGTCACTTCCCCATGTGTTTTTAATCAAGGGCTAATTGCTGTTAATTGTGTAATAGTATCAAGAGGTAACAGAAGTTGAGATCTGGGGAGGGGCTCTTAATGACTTTTGAGCCATGTATTGAAGTACAGTAGTGACAAATGTCATGGTCTGGAATTGCCTTGTATGCCTGTGACACACTCATGCATTGTTGAGGCTGTTGGCTATGTCCTGCTTAACTAATGAATGATTTTAAGGCATGTTCCTTTTCAATGCAACTCCTTCCTTCCAGTTATCTAATGAAATCTGCAGGACTCATGTGTTTATACAGGGAACCCTGGGAATCTTGTAGAGTTATTAGTATGTTCCTTTCAAAAGAAAAGGCAATGCTAGGAGCTACTAATTTTTCTTCCAATCCTGGCTCACCTCTTCCTGCACATTTGATTTCTTTTGTAGTCTTACTAAAACAGCATAAATGCTTTCTGTTGCTAGAAGCTTCCATAGACACGGTTTATGCAAAAATCTGTCTTTGAATTGTAGGTAAGATCTGGTGGTTGCTGAGGTGGAAACCATTTTGATTAATCTGTCCTTGCCATAGTATAGAGACAGTAGTATCTGGTAGGGTCGAATGAAGACCTGAGGAAACCTGTGAAACTCAGAATGGACAAAAGGCATTAGCCAGCTTCAGGAGTTCCCTTTCTACTGCTGGTCTTTGGAAACAGGATCACTGAAATGACTTGAGTATGTTTTTTTTCTTGAGATGAAGACAGCTAAGAAATTCAATGCTCAGCATTTATTCAAGCTTAACAAATAATCAGACAAGATTTGAGAGGGCTGTGTGCTGTAACACATGCTGGCTTCAGGTGGGCATGTGAAACACAATTTGGTGGTTACTTATCCTCAGTTTCTAGTGCACTGGTGAGACAAAAGGTAGGAAGGAGCTGTAGGAAGTTGAAGGTTATCTAGAACTAATAGTGTTCAGTAGGAGGCATCTGTAGTTTTCCAGGTGTCTGTAGAGTTAGAATTAGTTACTTTAGTGTGCAGTGAATATGTTATGCAGAGCAGGCCCCTAGCAGTATCATTGGGTTTTGAAAGCATGACCAGAAGAGCAGACCCTTTTTAAGTTCATGTGCTGCTCATCATGGGTGAGAACCAGGGTGACTATACTGTGGCATGTCGAAATAGCATGGTTTTTTTTCTTGAATGTTACTATTTACATATGAAGTGCTTAACATAATGCATGGTACTAAAGATGAAAACAGGAGAAAATCCTTTCAATTCTGAAAGTACCATACTCGATGAGAAGTGTTTTCATAGCAGGTGCATTATTCCTGGAAAGCAAAATTTCTGTAAAAAGTCTTTTCAGTCCTTGCTGGTCCTGTGTTAAATCTTTTTTTTTTTTTTTTTTGGACAGGCTAAGTGGACTTGGCTGTATGTTTTTGGATTGCCATGTTTCCAGGAAAGCTTTCTGGTTAGACAGTTTTCAGCTGGAGTGTGTGATTTTTGGATGGTGTGCTGTAGAGAATGCAGTTACTTTATGTGTATCCCAGTACCTTACTAATCAGATATTTGTGTCCTGAAATTTACTGTATAATTACAAATATTGAAAGTTTATAATTAAGCAAGTATAGTGGCATTTCTTCTTGTTTGGCACGTCTTCTGGAAAATGGTCAACTGTTTTATATGGGTGATGTTAACTTGCATATTAAGGCAAGTTAAATGTATTGGAAAGTGATTTTTTTTTCAGCTCTGTTTTCTGTATCTAACTCACCCTAAACTACTTTTTAAAATTATCTAAGAGATCATCTATCTCCAAGGATTGGGACACCCAGATACTCCAAGAATTTCTAAGGAAAAGCAGCAGAATTTTGAGAAAGTTTGTAACCTCTTTTCAAGCTGAAGAAATAGAGGGGTTTTTGTAATAAAAAAAACCCAAGTTACCCCATAGAAGGCATGTCTGCTAATCAGAAAGCAAACTGATTACTCTCCTTGAGCTTCAAAGGTAAATCACAGTTCCTCCCCAGCTTGCTTCTGTGGTAGTTTGTCATTCTGAAGCTGCTCTCTGTGTCCCCACTGGTCAGCTGGAGCTTCCTGCAGTTTTATGTCCCATTGTCTACTGGACACTTTGGTTACCTCAGACTTGAGCTTCATGAGCCTACAGAGCAGCTCTGTGGCCTGGGTGTCTAAAGAAGTGACCAATAGCTTTCATGAGTGTATTTGGTTGCTGTGAAAAGAAAATCATCTTGTGTCAGTATTTTCTGGTTCAGTACCAAAATCCCCAATAAATACAAATGTTAGAAATGTTAGTGAGAGTCTGTTAATTTACAAAGAAAATACTTGTGTCCTCCATACTGTCTGAACCAGAGCTTTCACTACTACTACCTGTAGAAAAAGAATTTTCTTTTACAGTAAGGTATAATACCTCTTGCTTGATTTTTTTTTTTTTTCTTAAAGAAATACAAGTACTTCATTTCAGTTTTTTATTTTTTTGCTTTCCCATTAGAAAGTAAAGATGATTTTGCAAAGGGAACTTAGTAACCTTCAGTGTCTGTTATACTGTTAGCTGAAATAGCTAATGGAGAAGATATGGGCCTTGTTGCGCTGGATATAATCTTGTTGCTACTGCTTACAGTTTATTTTTTTCTTTAAAGTTTGAGGGCTCCATAAGTTGAGAATCTAGAATGATAATAACATAAATAAGCTTAGGCCTGTACCAAACGTGAATATTTTTAAGGCTTCGGTGTTGGTTTGAAAGCACATGATTTCCAGTTTAGTGTTAACATTTTCCACATTGGATGCCTGTTTCATTTCTTCCCTGTACTTAGTGCATTCGCAACAGCAAGAGGCATGCTCAGAACACAACCTCAGAACGGGAATTGCATTTTGAGAGTGTCTTGTGAAGCAGATTGAAAGCAAAGGGTTAGTGTCCTGGTTTTGGCAAAAGGAAAGACCTGGGGAGAATGTGGCGCTCTTTCGTGTAGAGAGAAAGGAAAATCAGACATCAGGAGCTGTTGAGTGTGACGTTAACTGTCCTCTCTGTATCTTAGCTGCTCATGTACATGGTTAGAAGTCATTATGGAATAAAACTTGCTATGCTTCTGCTTCCTGCTGCCTTGTCTGTGCTTTGAGAACTTGTCAGCACTTCTCATTTTTGTCTTTGATTTTACCTTTCCTTAATTCTACTCTTTTCTAACAATGCTTATGGGAGCCTTCTGCAATTTTTAGTTTTAAACAGCAGAGCACTGGTATTTCTCTCAGTAGTTCTTGCTACATGCTCTTTTTTCAGACTCACAGAATGGTTGAGATTGGCGGGGACATCTGAAGGTCGTGTAGTCTGTTCCTCAGACACACTCAAACAGGGTCAGCTAGAACAAGTTGTCCAGGACTGTCCAGTGAGGTTTTGAGCATCTCCCAGCATGGAGAATCTACAACCTCTCTGGGCAACTCTCTGCCAGTGCTTGACCACTCTCACTGTGGAAAAAAGTTTTTCTTTCCCATTCAGTCATGCAGACTTCAGTCATACCCTCAAATGATTTTTGCTATGAAATTTAGGCCAGGAAACATTAAAGCATCTGTATTATCTTTGGATTGCATGTTGAACAGCTGTTCAGTGGATCAGACAAAGTTGGCTGGCTCCAGTGGTAGATGTGTGAATGGCTGCTGTCTGTGTATAGTTTTGAGTACTGTGGTGTATATCAGAAGACCTGAATCATACCTCCTTAATGCCTTTTGGATGCTTAGTTTACTTCTCAGCTGATAAGCTTTTTTTTTTTTTTTTGTATGATCCCTACTAATACTTGGAGGATTCATAGGTTTGGCAATGGAAGTGTGTGTTATAAAAGGAGTATTTATTGTGTATTTTTTCAGTATAGATACTCTGACTGTGGGGTTCTGCACTTTAGTGTTGCTGGAGGAATACTTGGTTCATAATGCCTAGAGTACTGAAGCTGCTAACTGGGAGGGAGTGTTACAAATTCAAAAATGACCTCCTTTTTCCTGAAGAAATGAGAGTTTGTGAATTAGTCACTGCTGCCTTTCGAGGCCAGCTGTATACCAGCAGTTTGAGAGCTGTGTCTTCTGACTATATGCAGGTTAAGCAAAAAACTATTGGAAGACAAGTCTCTAAAGTTTTCAGTTACAATGTTTGCTTGGTCCTTTTGTTTATTATTTTAGTAGAAGAATCTGAACCAGTAACTAAGAAGTTTAATATGTGTATCTGGGGAAAATCTTGTAGGATGCAATTCGGAAGTTGGCATTATGTTGGATCTGTTTGAGACCACTAACATCATCAACTCATCTTCATGCTCTTTTCTGGGGATATGTCTGAGGGCATAAAGTCCTCGTTGGATCACACATGCACTTGCAGCATAAGGATGCAAGGTGAACTGTAAATTTGTTACAAAGCATCCTGTTTGCCTGTTGTGGGAGCAGTAGAGTAGATACTGGTCATCATAAAGCATAGGCATGAAACAGCAAAAGAAGAAAACATGCTTTTCCTGGGATTTTCTACACTGGCATGCTTGTTTTCAGTTATTTGTTGACTAGTTGGAAAGATTGTCCACATCCTCGGTGAAAATAACTATTAAGAGGGGCTGTGTTAACAAACAAACAAACCACAATAAAACAAACAACTACCCAAAAAAACCCCAAAAGAATCCCAACAAAAAACCCCCCAAAATCAAAACCAGATAAACATGGAAATACGCTTCAGATATATTTGGGAAATTTGCTGAAATGCTAATTGGTTCTATTGTAGAGTGTGTGCAAGGCCATTATTGAGAGGAAGAACATGTAATCCAGAGTTTATAGTGTAAGGATGTTTTTTTTGGGGAAGCATTCATGCAGAGCTGATCAGTGTCTACTACAAGTGTAAAAGTGCAACCCCACCCCTGTTGGCATGAGCCAGAATCCACAGGATCACCTGTGCTCCTTTCTTTGGAGTCTTCCATGTGACCAACCAGGAGGACTAGAAATGAATGCAAACACATCTGGTGTCCGTACAGCACTGATAAGGAGACTGAGCTGCTTTGAAAATGAAATTTAGATTGCTAAGTTTCTTTTAAGAGACAAGCCAGCTTACCTTTGGCAGCTATTTCTTTCTGGTTTGTTAATATTGGATGGCATCCTTGCACCTCTTTGCACAGAGGGAGCCCACTTAACTGAGTAATTTCACTAAATTTTGGAGGAAAGATTTTGTGAGTTAACTGCTGTTTGGTGTCAGTTGGTGGAAACTGGACAGAGGTAGTGTTGTTTGTGGTATTTATGGTCTGTTATTAAGCTTAAACTAACAAAATACAGCTTAACTTTTTTTTTTCTGTTTTGAAGCCTGTTTGTGTTGTCTGGAAAGCTCTACTTGCAATGACCCAAAGAAGCCACATTTAATGGAGGAGGAGCTCATGATTGCCTTGAGAGCTGAATGTCCTACCTCAGAGCAAGTGAGACCTAAATGGATGAGAGCAAGCCCTTTCTGTTGAATTTATTGTCGCCAGGATTAGTGCATGTAGCTGATAGACACTTGCCCTGACACATGATTCTAGATCCTGAGGCCAGACTTGGATCTCCAGAGGATTTAGCAGTGGTTGTCCTGGATCAGAGGGAAGGATTCAAGTGTTACATCTGTAGGAATGAGTGCTTTGGCTTAGAATAAGAGGAGAGAGGAAGTGCAGGTTGATGTGTCTCCTGGAATATCCCATGTGTTGTTAGCCTTTCATTAGGGTTGAAAGTTGTGGCTGCATCCTGGACTTTGATAGCCCTTAATGGACATGTCTAAAAACATCTATCCCCATCTGCTTTTCTTCTCCCTTAACACTAACCTGCTGTTTTAGCTGAAATAGTCAGTAGGCCAGATAATTTTAGTCCTGTTTGTGTTATAACCAGCTGCATGCAGTGCATAAGATTGTGCCGTGGTTTGAGAGAGCAGTGAGTGCATTTGTGAGTGTGCTCTCCATATGTGCATACGTATGTCAACATGGGTGTGTGTCTGTATGTGTCTCAAACGGTGCCTGAGTCTTGGTAGGAATGTGATCTCACCTTTGATTCTCCCTTGTGGAAAGGGAAAATACTTATAACTAAACAGACGTTTAATTTAGGTTCATTAAAACTAAATGGAAACAAGTCTACAGAAGGTCAAAAAAATTATCACTGCCTTTATCATACCTACTTCACAAAATGAAGAAATAATAAAGTGTTTATAAGTTAATGTAGAATAGTAACAATATAGTTAAAGTACTGGTTGGGAAACTAGCTTTCATTTATCGCCCTTACTCTTAATGTTCTTGTAATTTGTAGATTAAATATTGGTGGTACTTGCCCACTTGTGAACTTGGGTGAAAATTTTTCTCGTACTGTGACCGTAGCAGCTATCTCTGCATACATTAGCAAATGCTCCTTTTCTGTGTTTTGTAGTGGGAAAGTGGAAGTGGCAGCATCATTGAGAATTTCCAAACAGGTGGGATGCTGATCTGCCCTTAATATGTTATGTGCTTCATATATCTACATCTGTAATCATCTGTCATTGTTTACCCTGTCAGAACTTGGATTGTTCAAAGGAAAATCTTCCCTGTTTCCCCTGATAAATTCAATTTTATTTTATCTTTTTCTAGTACATGGTTTGAGTGGAGCAATGGTGACTATTGGTCTCAGTGGAGAATGTCAGTTGTTTACGAGTTGTCCTTGTGTGAACTGTATTTGATTGTTTTAAGGTGGCTGACTCTTTGCTGTAGAAAGAGCAAATAAGCAATAGGCTTCAATCAGGCAGAAAAAATGCTGTCAAAATTACTTTTTCTCTGAGACATTTGAAGTCCCAGAGAAAGGATCTTTTTCAAATGGAATTAATGTGGAGAATATGCTTTTGTTGATTTCTATACACTGCCGTGTGATGTTACAGAATGTGAAGTGGGTGACAAGTCAGGATGACAGGAGAAACTATTGGTGAAACTGGTTTTGATGGGAAAGAATCTTTTGTATAAGAAACTCCTGTGTTGAAAATAACTGTGGCTTGATTCATTGTCTCCCAGGGCATCAGGCTGGAGCTGGACTGAGGAGCAAATTAATGAGGGGTGAGTGGACTTCCACTATTTGAGTTACCAAAACAACATTTCTGAATCCTTTTTTTTTTTTTTTTTTTTCTCCATTGGAAATGTGTTTTCTGATCTTCCTTTGTAGGAATAGCATTTGGGGCTTCTTGTTTATAGCAGAGCATGCCTGGCTTTTGGTAAAGTGCTTGGTTTAAAATTGCAAAGTTAATGGGATTCAGATATAATCTCATTTTATCTGAGGGTTTTTTTTATGCCTAAATTGTGCCTGTCTTCAGGGAAGCAAAAGTTGGAAGATGGTGAAAGAAACAGTTAGCATTTCTTTCTTGGGAAAAGTGGTAGTAGTAGTTGGTGCTTCTGTGGGAGGAAGGAACAATGTGCCTGCTAAGGAGAATAAGGAGGTGTTGGAGCTGTGATAGCCTCTGCTCCTTGTGACCTGTTTCTAATCAGACTTTTGACACACATCCACACCTACCATGCTCATGCAATTAGCTCATTACACAGTTTGTCAGCAGAACTGTGGCCTTGGTACTATTTTACTGTTGTATTTCAAGAGGTAGGGGAAGAAGTATCTGAAAAGTGCTGATTTTTTTTCATGCACTCTAGGAATTATGGTTTAATGACTGGCTTATATGATCTATAAGCTAGTTTCTTCTCCCTTAAATGTACAATGAGATTTCCATTGAACCATTGCCTTGCCACCTTTTCTTTGACAGAGTTCTGACAAACCCCATACATCTAGGTAGACTTTTATTTTATTTGAGGCTTCTATACAGAATGTTAAACTGACAATACAGTAAGTAAACAAGTCCTATTTCAAGATAATTTTCTTCAGTGTATGGTAAAATTCACATCCTACTATCCTACTGAAGAGTTTCATGCACAGCTCAGTCATCAGGTTAGTACTATTTATTGATTCAGAGAGGTCATGTATACATGTATGGGAAAATACTGGTTGTTTAGGTATGAACCGCTTGGAGTAATTAAATTTTTCTGCTGTTAACAAATGTAGAACTTTTCTGTACTTGTTATTTGGTAAGAATGCAGTGAACCTTATGCCACCTTTGTCCTGAAAACTATGAAGCTGTTAATTACAGAAATAAACGGGATTCACGTATTTCACCAGTTTCAATGCAGCACTGGGATTCTGTTCAGCCAGGCTCAGAACAGGAGATTTTCATTTACGTCTTCTGCAACAAAGAAGAAAATTAACATTTGATGCCAAAGAGACATTTTTATGCTGTGTCACTATCAAGAAAGTGATACACTAAAGTTTCAGAGTGCTAATGCAGGGAAGTGCAATTGCTAAAAAAATAAGTCTGGTTGCTGCTATCATTCAGAAGCCATTCATTTAGATCTTTCTTGGTAGGTGCTTTCTTGTTTCCAGTGTTAGGTGTCCTTGATCTGTTTGTGAGCCAGGAATCCCTTTCTCCCCCCTTCTTCACAAATGACTGATCCTAAACCTATCTGTGGATGAACAATCATTGGCAGCAGTACCTGTGTATTGTGATGACTCCTCGCAGCTTACTTCCACGTGTGGTTTGTGACTGGTAAATTGTCATCAGAAGAACTGGAAAAAATTCTGTGAAGAGTGAAGGCTCTGCATGTCTGACCTCTGACCAGAATGAGCCTCCACTTAAAATTAGGGAGTTGCTAAGCAGGATTTTGAACACATTTCTTCAGTCCCATGTTTAGCCAAACACCTCCTGTCACATAACTGTTCTAGGATTAACCACATGTCCTACTTCTACCCTTGCTTAATGACTGGCAGTGTTGTTCAGCTGTCACTCAGGGCTAGATCAGAAGGAGGTAGATTGCTGAGGTTGAATGTAGTCATGTAAATCTCAAATTGCTATCATGACAGCTTCTGTTGAGCTGCTTCCTAATTCTAGACACGTCACCAGTACAGTATTACCTAGCTTTTCACTTTCCTAGAGAAGTCTCGTTATGGATTGAGCTGAACCAAATGTATGCTGAGCTTATTTAGGATTCAGAATCTGTCCCTGCCTCTGCCTAAGCCTCCTGATGTATGCAGTCCGGTGGGCACTGTGGGAGCGTGTGTTGCATCTGACAGGTTAGGTAAAATAGTTTGGCCTTCAACTACAGCGTGATGACAGCACTTGTGTTGTATGTAGTAATCTAGAGGTGAGTGTAGTTACTTGATCAGTGAGAGATCTTGGTTTTCCCTACTTGGCTTGAGATGTGTAATGGACTTTCAGTCAATATGCTTTGACCACTGATTTAAAAGTACAAGCTCACTTTTTGCCTTTCCTTTGGCACTGAAGCATAGAGTGTTTCTTGAAAGACAGATATGCAGAACATAGGTTCAGACACCACACAGGAAATTATTTCATATATAGTACAAACTACCTCAATTTTTCCTGTCTTTATAAAATGATTCAAAGCTTTGCACCTTTTGCAGTCTTGTCATTACTGTTCCATTTGCCTCTGTGCACAGTAACCATGAGCTTCTGGCTACATTTTTTTTTTCTTTCCCATACATTGCAGTCTGAGAATGTGACTAGTCTTGATAGAAACATTTTGTCCTGTACATCTGCCTGTTCTTTCAGGTTTACCTTCCTTAATCCCAAAGCAGTGGCACCATTCCTTCAAAGCAATGAGTTTGTCTTGGTCTCCATCACACTCTTGGAAGAAACGGGTTATGCAGTGTTCCATGGGAACAAGGGAGGCTCTCAACGGCGCAAGCTCAGAGTGTGTTAATAATCTGAAAGAAAGAGCAGGTACATAGAGCTGTATTTCATTATTAAATCATCAGGATCATCAAAGATGTTCTAAGCTGCTAGAACATGATAATGGTGGCTTTGACAGAGATGCCCCAGTGGATTCTGTTGTGGTGCTTCTGTAGTGAATCTGTCACAGGTTATTACAGTAAACAAAAATGTTTTAACTGGTATTTGTTCACTAACATTTTTTTAGAACAAGTATTACTGACTTCTTCACCAAGTCATCAGATGTGGAGTTTTGCCATTAATCTTCAGGAGATCAAGCTTGCGAAGGTGCTTAGCTATGTTCTAAGGCCATAGCTGTGACTGCATGACGTACTGAGGGCCTGCAGTCTTGGAATATGGATTCCACCACTGAATGTCATAACGAAAAGCCTGACATCTAAGTCATGTTCTCAGAAGCCTGGGGGCTTCCTCTAAAATGTGACACTGGTGCTGTTTTACTATATCTACTCCTTAAACTGAGAGACTACTGTACTATTAGTTGAAAACTATGGGTACCTCACTAGTGAATTATTGCTGACAGGCCTCTGCACTTTATTTAGTCTGTTGCTCTTAGCTTCAGTAGAAACAGGATCTCATGAGCCTTGTTTTCCTCCAGAATCAGGGCATTAGTGGCTATTAAGACAGTGTAGAGCTTAAGGTATAATACATGATGATTATGAAAGGCAAGAGGATAGCAGTTCTAACCTAAGACATGACTCCAGCAAAGCAATTAGAAAAGTTCTGTGTTAGAGGGAGTGTACTGGCTTCTGTCATCTGAGGCACTAGTCCTGTGTGTAGTGAATCCCTTGAGTGGTGTAGAAAAGTAAAACAGCCTGAGCTTGAACAGCAAATCAGAACTGAACCTGCAAAGATTTCTTTTTACCTGTTAACAGGGTGCTGATCAAGCTGATGAAACTGCCAGTGCACAGGGTACACATACATGTTATAATTTTTCTCAAAGTCATGCAGGAGCAGCTCAACTGCGTGGTCGCCAGCCATGAGACGCTTGTCATTCTGGTAGATTTTTTTGACCTGAACACAACAGAGAAATTGATGGATTTTGTTTATGGATGAGATCTATCCTGAAGAGAACTGTCCAACAAGGAGGTGGTTTGGAGAAATTAAACTTGATAAATTACCACTGGGGAAGGGGATTTTAGTGTTTGTGACCATAAACAGCATGAATATCTTGCCTCAAGTAGTCCAGATGATTTTTGTTGCTGTCCACGTCAACTTTGGTAGTGACTAGAAAGGACATGAAATTCCTGTGGCCTAATCATCAGAATCAGCTAAGCAGGGCAGTAACCTCAGATTGTTAGGCGTTTAAACCAATTTTGCCCTGAGTCAAGTAACTCAGTTTTTCATGTGAAATAAGCCACTTCAAAAAATCAATATTCCTATTGGTAACTACGTAAGTAACCTTTGGTGTTTCGCTCACGCATATTTTTGTATAAACGTGCTGTGACCTACTGCATGCACCTCCTACTCCAGAATTAGAGCAGCCCAGGTCTTGGTTTAACTTAAAGTATTTTCTAATAGTTATGGCGCTTTAGGCAGTTATGACATCTATATGTTCAAAACCAAACTATTGTTACCAATTTACTTGACATAAATCCTTCTCAAAAAAAAAAAAAAAAAGGCAAATGGAAATATAGATACGCTTACTCCATTTTAAGCTGACGTAGCATGATGCTGTAGGTCTACTGGATGGTAGAAAGTAGCACTTTTCTCTTAAAACTGGGTGTCAAACTTGTGTAATTTTCTAACCCTTGAATATCATGGTGTAGAAAGACAGTGTATGTGGCTGGATTTAAAAGTGCAAACTATACCCTTAACTGTTGAGTCCATTTTCATGTAGTTTGGATTGATGGCCATGTGTGTCTTGAGAAGAGGAGCTATTTTGGTTGGTCCAAGGCAGGGATCCCCTGCCCCCATGAGGGTCCCCTAAACTCAATATTGTAATTCTGTCTCAAATCCTGCTGTGTGACTGCCCAGCCACTGAGTCTCACACAGGCATGAGCCCGTCTGTCCTTCCTTTGCACACCTGTGCATCGCCAGCAGACTTTGTCCCCTACCTTCCCATTGCAGGTCATGTAACGAAAGCCGAATGGCCCGTGTCCTTCCAACTCGTGGCACTCCACAGGTGAGCTCTTGGCTGGCTGTTCGCTCTTATTCTGTGCTTTAATTAATCATTCATACCCAGACCTTCCATTTTATGCTATGGCTGCTGAGTTCCCTTAAGTCCTTTGGAAAATGGCACTGACTGCATGAACTGGGTCATCCTTTGCTACATATTAGTTGATCTTTCCAAGAGGTTTGTCACAAAGCATGTCCCTGAAGAGAAGCTCTTTTGAGTCTTCTCAAGCAAATTATGTTTATCTAGGTGTACGCTAATTCTGATTTATGCCTTCTGTCTGTAGACACCGGCTTCCAAGTAATCCACTTGGCTTGCATCTGCTTGGACAAAAGGAACAGCCGTAGCAGAAATGTCTCAGCTTAAATGACAGTGGACATGTGTGTTTTGCAACTTGTGAATCTAATTGAGTCTAAATTGCCTTAACCAAAAAGGGAATGTTCATTGGAAATGGGAGAGCTTGTAAGATACTAATCACTTTTTTTTTCACATGGTTAGTTCGGCTCTAACAATGTAACTGCATGGTCTTACTTGAAAAGGATTGCTGACCTTGCTCCTTTGCTTTTCAGTTAGAAAACCAGAAGTATCCAGATCACGTTCATAATACTGCATAAGGATGTTTTTGAGCCAGTCTCGCATCCGGAGGGGGAACTGATCCACTTCATAATCAGTACAGTGGGGGATGTCTGTGCCAAACATGAAAGCTTTTGTTAATGAGTCATCTGTTAGATTTGATTCTCACTAGCAAACTTCCAGTTAAGCTTAAAATTGATGGAGCTATTAATACATAAAACTGGCAATGCAACTAATGGGTTAAACTATAAACCTACAATTCTTTAGTGCATATGCTTAAACAGTTGTGCAAGCCACACTCTTTACATATCTATGCAGCTTCTGAGCAGAGTTGTGCAATGAAACTCTTACCAGCCAGTTGCATGAAAGCAGAGTTCTCAACACCAAAGGAATATTCTGGCTGGTAGTGCGCTTTCCTCCTAGGGTATGTAGCAATTTAAGAGCTTGGAAAACAGTTCCAACTTCTAGATCCTGATTTCTGGATTTGACATCCAAATAGTTTTTTTAGCAGTGTGGTTTTTTTTTTTTTTTTGCCTGGACATTTTCATTAACTGGCTGTACATACTGTCTTTCTGGGCAAGGTATTAAATATCTTTGGATGCTTATGACAATGGGAGCATGTGCAGGGGGAAGACAGGGTTGCCAACAAATTGGTGTAAGCACAGGAAGGGATGTTTCTAGTATTCGGATACTTCATACCCTTACTTACAGAAAAAAATTATTTTCAGACATGTTTAGGTTTTGAAGGTCTTAATTAGCAGATAGTTGATGTGGAAGGGACAGAACACAGGAAAAAAAACAGGTAAGTCGGCTACTGGCTCTTACATTTGCAGGAGCCCATATAGTCTAGGTGCAGCTGGCGTCCAATTTTTGTCCCTTCAAGTTGACATTTGGTGCCGAAGAGTTGACATGTACCATCATAAGTCTTATTATCTGTACCACAGACCTAGAGGAGGAGTAAAAAACAAAACCACCACCACTGTGTTGAGAAAAATTTCTGGTCACTCATAGAGGCATTACAATAATAAAAGTATCATTAACATATGGTGTAGCAGTTGTGTACACCCACAGGGAATGCATGTGATCAGAAGTATTGAAAATTGTAGTTTTTACATGCCTACATAAGGATTAGCTAGCTGTCTGTACTTACACGCCCAGTATTGAGACAGGAATTTTTGTGCAGTACTAATACAGTTTCTGTGAGGATTATTACACCAGATATGTACTAGTATTCAGTATATGCTCTAAAACATCAAATAGATAAATAGAACTTGTAGTGACAAGGAAAAGCTACGATCCCTGAGAGACTAAGTAAAGCAGATGACTTTAGGTACTATATAGCTACATGTGTTCATACTATTCTCAAGCTATGGTCAGTCAGTTTGGGTACTTTATAATTAATTTTACAATGACTGGAATCACCCAAACCCACTTGCATGCTTTTTAGGGTAGAATTATTCTAAATAATAGCAGGGGAATGTGTTATCTTGTAAATGCTTCTATTGACTTTTCCCCCATGCTGTGCACTGAATGAAATACTTACATGCTCATAGTCTTTAGTAGGAGGGCAAGCAGCAGGATCTTGGCAAATACAGCTGGGTTTCCCTTGTTTGTCTGCATGGCAGACTTTACCTCTTTTGCAGTGGAAGTTCCTACATGGGTCTAGCAATCATAGCAAGGAGAGAGTGTTAGAGGGGATGGGATGAAGCCAAGAGTTTGTCGGTACTACTGACAGTCAAAGCAAAATACAGCCCAATATTCACCAAGAAGTCAAGTGCTTTTTCTAAGTTTGTTAAACTGCAGCTGGATCTTGTATTGAATAAAGCCAAACTTTAAATGAGAATTTCTGTGACACTTCTAGCAGTCCCAGATTTGAGTTGGATGGGGAAATAAATTTCTCAGAAAAAGCTATTTCTTCTGTAAGGATTGACATTCACTTCCAGCTTCCTTTGGTGAAACATATCCCATCTGTCTCCTTGCTGAATCCAGCACTGGCACTTGTCCCACTTCTAGCTGAATTCAAGCTACTGTTCTGAAACAGAAGGGTTTCAATGCAAGGTAATTCCTGTATAACTGATGCACAAATTTGTGCACTGTCTACAAATGTTTTTCACAAACAAATGAGTAAATCCAAGGGTGTATGGAAGGGATTCTCTGGGAACATAACTGCCCTGCAGAATTATGCTTAAGCACAGTCCAGTCATGTGAAATCATGTGCTGCCAAAAGCAGAAAAGAAATGCAAACCAGCAGATTCCCCAGCTGCAGAGAGTTAGCAGTTACATGACTGGCTTTGCTTGTGGCTTACCCAGGAGAGCCTTCTCACTCCTGTTGATTGCACTTTCCATCTTGCCATAGGAACTGCCTGTAGTCTTAACCTGTGGGGGGGGGAATACTTGGACAAAAATTTTTTAGGTACAAATGTAGAGCTGACTGAGGCACAGTTTGTTCTGCTTGCAGCAGAAAGAGGTTGCTATGTAAAATGTGTGAGAAATGCATAAAGCCTCTGATAGTATTAAGGTGCTCTGTTATTTGGAAAAAAGTAGGAGGTGGAGAGAGAGAAACAGTTGTTCAATAAGTCCTGAACGCCTGCAAGTTCTGTGGTACTGGGCATACATGCTCATAGCACCTTGAGGCTGGACCCTAGCCCTGTCTTTCCAAGCTGTTCACTTTTGTATGGTAGTATTTAAAATCTTTGGGAGAGAGGAGTGAACAGGCTTTCCTAGTTGGCTTGAGACTGGCTTCCAGGTTTTGTACCTGTATATCCATATTTATGTTTCATTACACAGCCCATCGGGGATGGAGCTATTATGTGAGACTTCCATTCTGGTACAGTTCATCTAAATGTTATATGTGAAGTCACACAGTGTACACCAGATGAATAGTGAATAAAAGGGGAGATGCTACTTCTACATATTAATAAATTGCACCTGTTTTATTCCAAAATGTCCTTTTCATCATCAGAAATTTAAATTTGGGACTGGTTCCCCCCCACCTTTTTCTAGTATTCCAACTTTATATTAAAGAGAATTTACCTTATCTTTACTTTCCATTGAATTCATGCTCTGAACAGAGCTACTCATTTCCAGTTGTTGCTTGCTGTCAGAATTAGGTGGCTCATGATCATAATCATCTTGTTCAGTGTGAATAAGGTCTTTAATTTTGACATCTTGGTAATACTTGGTCTCTCCACGAACTGCAGTGTCATCTTCAGGGGTTGCTTCCCCTTCGTGCTCAGTACTGGTGCTCTCCTGGTCGTTGCTCTGGATTCTCTCCTCTTTCTCATAGGCAGCTTCTTTCCAGATATTGCTGAGATCATCTTCGCTGTCAGCATCACCACTGTCATGACCATCCTCATCAACGTTACTGTCCTCTCTATCTCGCCTTTTCACCACTGTGTCATGATCACTCTGATAGCTTACTTGAATGTTGTCTTTCCTCTCTCGGCTTTGCCACTTGTCATCCTGATCTTCATTATGGGTTTTTTGAGAGAGGGGGATTTCTTCTTTATAGTGCTTCTGGTTGTTCTCCCTCCCTTCTTCCTCTAGGTTAAATTTTTGACCATGTCTCTTGGTTATCCAGCTTGGCTGACTGGAATCTCTCGGGATTTCATCAGATTGCATACTGTTTTCATTTTGCTGTCTTTCGTATTGGTTGCTTTGATTTGTCTGGTGGCCTTTGTGCTTCATTTCTCTGTAATCAGTTGCTTTATCCCATTCCTCATTCTCTTCTTCCACACTTTCTTCATCACTTTCACTGTTTTTCTCAGATAGGCCAGCTGTATTTTTATTGTATTTCCACATGTTATGCTCATGATGGAGACTGAGAGCATCCATGGGATTTTCTGTGTTGCCCAGAACATGTTGATTAGCTGTATTGCTGTGTTTCTCATGTCTTCTGAAGTGGTAATGCTCAGAGCTGGACTGTTCTCTGCTGCTGCTTCCAGAGTCACTGTCCTGGTTATCAGAAGCCAAACCTGGTTTGTTGTGCAGCACAAGGAAATTGATGCTTTTTAGGCTATTTTTCACTTGATGCTCACTACCAGTTCTTCCTTGTTTTCTAGTGGTCTGGGGCTCATCCCTGTGCTCAGTGTCTGGTACTGATACCTCTGGTTTTAGGTTTTTGTGACTGGGCAGCAAATCACCCTTGTCTACATACCCTGCGTTCTCTTCCTTTGGGGCTTCAGGATGAATATCTTCAGTCTTAAAAAAAAGTAATTAAACAAGTAGATTAATGGATTTTAGAATTTATTTGAAGTCAATGCAATATTATTTTTGCCTCCTATTGCAAAGCATGACGCTGACTTTATTTTCTTTGTAAATGTGCCCTTAAACTAACCCTGAGCATGAAATTCACAGCTGATGTGATTTCCATTTCTCAGCAAATTTGTTTCTCTGTCCCTTTTATTGATGGAGTTTCTGAAGAAATCTATGCAACTCTGTTTAAGATCTCATAGGAGATAGATGCATATGGGTGTCCTGTGAAATCTCAAAATACTTGATTAGTCATTTTGTGTCATAACTTCAGGTTCTTGTAGGTTGCAGTAATTATCACTTACCTCAGAGAAAGGAGGACATGATACTCCTCTTCCTACACAGATAAATGGGAGACCTGGGAAAAGAGGGGCAGGGGGAGAGAGCACCTTCCACAAGGTGCTGTGGTAGTAAGTCCTGAGGAGTTCACTTCATCTTAACTATTTCATAACCAATATATTCATCTACTTTGATGCATCACTGCTTCCTAGCTGAATTCATCAGAAACTATTGTATTTGGTGGCAGCTACTGTAGCATAAGCTCACTAGCAGGAGTCATAGGTGTTTTTTTTTTTTTTTTTTTTTTTGCATGCTGTCAAGCCAATAGAAAAACAAGTAACTTCAATGGAAAAGGTTCAAATACTTGAGGAGAAAGAAGGTATTAAAATGACTCTTAGCTCTTGCTGCAGCAGCTGCCTTCCTGCTGCTGTTAGTGTCACAGCAGCTGCTGGGCGAGTACAGGCACTTCCAATAGCAGCAACACCTAATGTATTTCTGAACAACACCTATGAATGTTCAGTGTTGCTTATTGCTTACTACTACACGGCATCTGATGCTGCTTTTCCTTAGAGCTTCTGATGAGCCCCTCTCAGTGCCCAAGTTGCTGGAATAGCTTTTGCTTTAGTGTGGGCAGAGTCGTGACTGCTCAGAAACAAACTCTCCACTAATAAATAGTTACACAAATTTTAAAATAAAGTAGGATTAGAAATATTAATTTGGCTCTTGGCAGATCAGCTATATCCTATTCCCTAAGGTCAAGGTGATATCTGAATGTTTTACAAGTTTGTCTTTTGCCTAGTGTATTTTCTGATGCAGGAAAAGTACTCAGCAGTATATTCACTATGTAATTTCCAGCCTTGACTTTTTCAGGGGAAGACTGTATGTTTGCTCAAATCTAAGAGCTTTTCCAGATTAAATGCACATTTCTTGAAGACCTTCTGAAAAGTGATCTATGTGTTACCAAGCATCTCATTTGAAAATCAAGTTTCAAGAACACGTTTTTTTTTAACATGTGTTTGGGCACTACTGCATACAAATACAACTTTAAGTTTAAGCAAAAAGCAGTCTTCTGTGAAGGGCTTCCAGTTCTACAGAGTTAGAAAATATAACGCCAAACAGTCATTGTCTATTATGGGTGCCTTTATTTGAAGTGGTAGTTTGAGGAAGATGTGTCTCATGTCTTACCAGAAAGCCTCGTTATGCACCACAACCTCAATGCAGAGATGTCTGGATGTGGCTTTCAGCTTGCTGCTTTTTGTTATACCCCAGGATAAAATAAACTTTTAAAACTCAGTTGCTTGTGAAGTAGGAGACAGCTGGCCTTTGGATGTTGTGTATCATATTCACTTGGAACTGATGATTTGTTGGGTATTGCAGTGGGTTTTTTTTTGATGCAAGTGTCTTCTGCATGAGTTGTTCTTGGGAGACAACTGTAGGCTGCAAACTAGTGTTTATACCATAATTTGTTCTGCTGGATACTTCATTAGGAAAAGTTAATTTTTTGGCTTTCATCATGCAGAGCACCTTCCAATTGACATGAAATGCATCTGGAAAATTGCACAAAGTGGAACATAATTCATAACTAAAAAAAAAAGGTTAGCATGAGTGAGTTAGAGCTGGGATTAGAGTTGGGATTTTTTACTACAGACCGTGCTCTGAATTTAGTTGTTCCAAAACATCTATTGTCTTGGTCCGTTGTGTCTGAACCACAAATGTTCACCAGAATGGTGCAATAAAAAAAAATTTAATTTAGATCAACTATGAATACAGAATTGTGAACTCTATCATTAGCATGCATGTATGGCATAGAGCTGTTGAAGTAATCTGTCTCATTACCGTCAGTGCTGTGTATCTGGCTTGTGACACACTGTGTACTTTTCCAAGATGAGCTGTATCTAATACTGTGTTTGAGTAATGAAACATGTGGTGGCTAAAATTCTTACATGTTTGAGTGTATATATGATCACCTGGTATGATAAATTGAGGACTGCATCTTCCTCGTTCACTGGAGCAGCAGTAACCACAAGTTCGACTGTCACTGGAGCTTATTGTTTGTATGACTGGATGTAATGATTATAGGTGGAGATTCATTTAAGGTAATTCTTTCAAATAAGTGAAACTTCTGTTGTGAGCTTTAGATTTTGTCTTCTTCTGTTTCTAGCTATGTAATATGCAAGGCATAAGATGTTTGATACTAATCCTTGGGGCTAGGGAGTCTACATTTTTTTTAACGTAAATTGATTTGAAAACGTGCTAGTGTGGTTTTTTATATTTGAGATAAATAATATGGGTTGCCTTTTAATGTTTAAAGAAGAAGAAAAGTACCTTTTCTGGAGTTTTCTGTCCATGGGTTCCGAGGTTGTAATTTAAGGGATGGGTCTAGAATAGACAAATATATTCAATATCTGCATGTAAATAAAATACTTGTATAGGTCAATAGGATAACATAAGACCATCATAGAATGGGAAATTAAGTGCCCAGTAATAATAGCATGATGAAGACTTACTGGAATAGCAAAAGCTGATCCTACAAGACAAATGAAGAGAGCTACAGCCTTCATACTTTTCAGATCTTGTAGAGGACAATAGTTAATGGTACAGTGGTAGGGCTTAGAGGTTTCCTTTCTGCAAGCAACATGAAGAGAAACAGAGTTAAGATTTGGGTATAATGGTCTAGAAATGAATGATGGAAGCAACGTAGTGGCTGCTGTAACTTAGTCTGAAGACCCACAAAATTTCCATGCAATGTCCAGTTATAGGTAAACTCAGGTGTTAGACCAGCTTATCTAGAGGACGTTTTGGTTATTGTTGTTCTACAGGACTTAAGCTGCATGCTCTGTTCACAAACTCTAGTAGTGTTTGTGAACCACGGGCAAAGTTATGAATGTATGTAGGTTAAGCCCTGTAAATCTTTATTCACTCTTCTGAGATACTACTTTGTGAAAAGTGTCCCTTTTTATTTAATTCTTAGACAATGCCTGTTTGTGGCATTGCTATGGCCAAGGTGCGTCCTGGCTGCTGTCCTTTGTGGCTCTAGTAGGAAGAATTAAGTGGTGAAGTTTTGCTTAGCAGGTCTCAAAGCCCAGAAATGCTGTCCAGGCTGCCTGACCGAGGATTGCAGTCCTGCTTTGGAAGCAACAAACCCAGCTCTGCTGTGATGGCTGGAAGAGCATGCAATGAATTAGGAATTTTTCAGTCTATGCTAATATTCTTGTGTGAGTGAAAGACTCAATTTTACCTCGGATGTCACCAGCAAATTTTCTCACTATTGCAGTGCACATTAACTGGAAGCTTCTACAGATGTAGCTGTATCACTGAGAACAATGAAAATAAACAAGCTTATTGTTTCTGTTCCCCCACCTTTTTTTCTGTATTGCTTTCTTATTCTTTTTATTTTTTTCTTGTATTCATACAGAATCGGTAGGATTTTCACTCTGCTTATGTTTCTGCTCTCATTTTACTGGCTGTTACTCCTTGGAAATTGTCTTCTCAGTCTTCACCCCCGCTACCTTTTAAAATATTTTCACTTTCCACCTAACATATGTCCTTTTTCGTTGCCTCACCCCTTCTTAATGAAACACGTATCACCGTGTCCTGAGTTGAAGAATACCATGTCTGTTGCTGGTTGAACTCCCTAGCATATGAAGAAGCTGGCAGTGGTTTCAACCAGTTAGGTCAACTGTATTCAATCACATGAAGTTCAGTGTATGGCTTTAAAATGTTGTTCACCCAGACTGTTTTTCTTTGGGAGGGGGAGGAACCTAAAACCCTAAAAGGAGAATTCCAGGGGAGCTTGTGTTTATGGGAGCTAGAATGGTGAAGCAAGGACTTCGAGCATTACATTGGGTTTTGGTGTAGAAGCTTGCAAAAGCAGCCTGGCTACTGCTGTGCTTAGAACTGAACAGTACACTTTGGAAGATCCCTGTGTTAAATGTTATTTAATGTCCATATCTTTTAGTTGATGAAGAGCAAAATACTTCATTAGTCGGGCATATCGAGCATGCAGACGATTTTTCTTGCAGTTAACTGATTTAGTCCCCAAATTATCTCTTATCCTGATTATCTATTATCTCTCTGACATACAGAGTTAGTTGTTTAAGAAGTTGTCAGAGGGAAAGACAGAATACAACAAAATCCACTAATGATTATATGCAAAATGCCTCACTGGACTGTGTATGGGCAATCACTTCAGATCAAGGCAAGTTTTGTTAGATTGAGGGTCATGAGGGCAACTTGCCAGAAATGCAGAAGCATAATCCAATTTAATGTATAGCCCTAGAAACTGTCCCTTTGAAGGCCTGGCAAGTGACTGAGGAAAGAAATATTCGAATTAGGTAGTCTTGATTTCTGTTCTTCTCTGCTCCTGGCAAGCAACACAGCTCTGGGCATGTCACTTAACTGAGCTTCTGTCCTGGTTCAGCTAGGATAGGGTTAAGTTTCCTCAGCAGAGAGGGGGAAGGGATCTCCAGGTGGGTTATTCTTACCATGCTGAGGTGAGGTCCAGCTCCGCAGGGCGGGAAGCTTTCCTTTGTGGCTTTTGTCGCAGGAAGCACGTGCAGCGGGCTGGATGTATTCTTGGCGGTATTTCTCTGTATATCTTTTGTCTTGTTTACTGTTATTACTGTTGTTGTTGTTACCGCTATTGTTGTTGTTCAGATTGTTTATTACACTGTTGTATTAAATTTCTTCTTATTTTAACCCGGGGTTTGTACCCTACTTATGTCCAAGGGTGGGGGAGGGATGGCAGTGTGGTCTCTGGTCCCAACAGGGCTTAAAACTATCACAGCTTCCTTTAATAAAAATCTCATTTGTTATGTTTGTTTTGGTAAAGTATTTTGAGAACTGTAAATTAAAAGCTCTACATGTTGTATTTTATTTATAATTACAGTTTTTGAATTTGGCTCTGTCATGGACTGTAAAAGTTGCCTCTTCCACCTTTGTTCAAATAATGAAAAAGGGATTGGAATAAATCTGAGTTAAGGTGGCAGGACAGGGCTTTGTATTTTTCTGCTGGTCACTAGCCCACAGTGGCTCATGAGAAGCATAAGTCTTTAATTATTAGGGAAGTCTGACGACCTTGAATGGAGTATAGAGGCATAGTCTAGTTAAGCTTTTTTTTTTTCTGGTCATGATAGTCAAGTTGCAAGGATTTATAATATTTCCTCCAGTAGGATACTCTGCCCCAAACATTAAGTAGCGTTTTAAAACACACTCTTAAACTGTAATGCATGTGCAAGTATTGCCTTCCTGAGCATGTCAGCAATACCAATTCCTATGCAGTAAGTGTCTCCTGCCACTGTTTTCAGACCAAGGAGTTTTGAGGTGCCTCGTAGTGGACCTGACTACTCTAAGTTAACCATGGAATTCTGTCTCTTCTTCCGTGATACTAGTCCCATTGTGCAGCAGAATACAGGGAACTGTTTGCAACTGATGGCTGGGAACTGAGAAAGTTCTGTAGCCATAGTCACAGAGGTTTTTTTTCCAATGCTGATGGCCCTCCTGAAGGGAGAGCAGTAGGGGAAGGTGATATGTTATAAAAGCTGCAAAGTCAAGCACAACAACCACTTCAGCAGGGATTGGAAAAAAAAATATATATCTTTATACAATGGCCTGTTTTCCCTTCTGCCCTCCAGGGATGAACGGAGTGTTTCTGTTAATGTCGCTCTAGGTAGGCTCTAGGGGCTTGGTTGTGCAGTATGCCAAGACCTTGTGTCAGAATCCAGGAGAACCTTTTTGCTTGCTACTAGCAATCCATGTGAAGGTTTTTAGGTGGTTTGGTGAGGCAGGAGCCAAGGGATTTACAACTTGAAGGGTAAAGCTATTGGTGGTGGTGGTGATGAATCACAAGGAACTCTTCTTGCAAGCCTACAGCCCTTTTTTACTGCAGAATGCAGAAGTGGTGGTTCATGGCAACAGGTTTTTGTACTTGCTCATTTAGTCTTTCAGTGTTACAAAGGAAAAGTCATTTTTGCTATATTAAAAGAATAGCCAGCCTATGCAGGTGTGGAGATGAGAAAGCTCTTGTGGGTTGTATGTAATACATGGCAATTAAGATGATGGTGATGGAAGAAATGAAGCATTAGCTAATTGTCATATGATGCAAGGGTCTGCCTTGTCACATTCACTTTTTTACCCTGGAACCTAAATGTGAAGATGCTTTGTTCTTGCTTTAATATCTAAATTTGTCCTACAAAACAGAACTTCTGAAAATAAGCTTTTGTAACATATAAAATCAATAGAACTGTCAGTAAAGAACTATTACATAAGAAGCTATTTGAAAAGCAAGCAAACATCTCCTTAGAGATCTGCAGTCACTATATTCTGCAGGAAATTCTGTAGGGAAACTTAGCTGAAAGATGAATGTGAAATTTCTTGAATTTTTTTTTTTTTTTTTGACCAAGAAATTAAGAATTCAACAGTATTTCAGCTTGGGGTGTTGAGAAGGCAACACTAACTAGGTGCATCGTGTTTGCGTGGCAAGGTTTTGGTAGCAAGGGGCTATGGGGGTGGCTTCTGTGAGAAGATAGAGCCAATGTCAGCTGGTTCTGAGATGGACCTGCTGCTGGCCAAGGCCGAGCCCATCGCCGATGAAAACAGGAGTGAGAGCACGTGAGAGAAATGACTCTGCACACACCCGAGTCAGTGAAGAAGGAGGGGAAGGAGGTTCTCCAGGTGCCAGAGCAGAAATTCCCCTGTAGCCTGTGGTGAAGACCATGGTGAGGCAGGCTGTCCCGCCGCAGCCCGTGGAGGATCCCACAACCGAAGTAAGTGGGTGCCTGAAGGAGGCTGTGACCCCATGGGAAGGCCACGCTGGAGCAGGCTCCTGGCAGGACCTGTGGCCCCGTGGAGAGAGAGGAGCCCACATGGGAGCAGGCTTCTGACACCGTGGGGAATCCGGGCTGGGGCAGTTTGTGAAAAACCGCAGCCCTTGGGAAGGATTCACATTGGAGAGGTTTGTGGAGAACTGTCTTCTGGTAGGGACCCCATGCTGGGGCAGGGGAAGGGTGTGAGGAGTCCTTCCATGAGGAGAAAGGAGCAGCAGAGACAGTGTGCTATGAACTGATAGCAACCCCCATCCCCTGTGCTGCTGTGGGGTAAGGCAGTAGAGAAAATTGGGTGTAAAAAGTTAAGCCTAGGAAGTCTGGGTGTCTTATTACCCTACTCTGATTTGATTGGTAATAAAAGTTGAATCTATTTTACCTGTGATGGTGATTGCTGAATGATCTCTTCCTGTCCTTATCTTGACCCATGAGCCTTTTGTTTCTCTCTCCTGTCCAGCTGAGGAGGGGGAGTGATAGAGTGTCTTTGGGCACCTGGTGTCTGCCCACTAGATCCTCCCTGCCTCATTCAGGCTTGAAATATGTTTTGCCTGAAATTTGGAGGAGGCAAAAGCTCAGAGTTGTTTATTTGATCGCAGTGGGTTTTCAGCAGGACACATGCAGCTCAGCTTAAAATACAAAAAAAATAAAATTGCTTTTTTTGACATGAATGTCATAATTGCTCTGAGTAAACAACCTTTATTCAGAGGACAGTACACTGCTGCTGAGCTGAGATGGAGCTAAGGGTGCTTTTGTGTACTCAGTCTCATTTGAACACAGACAGTGGGCCATGCTCGTGCCAAGGTAGGATCCGGCAGCTGCTGCACAGCAAAGTACACTCAGCTCATGAGAGCCTCTGCCAGGACTTGAACAGAGTTGCTTTATGAAGAAGAGTTGTCTCTCTGACTATGGGTTCCATGCAGCAGCCCTGCATTGTCATCTCTGTGTGCATCAGGGGCCTGCTGAGCATGGCGAGCAACATCTCAGCCTGTGATCAGATTTACAGAAATGTATCACAGAATCATCTCAGTTGGAAAAGACCTTGAAGCTCCTCCAGTCCAACCATGAACCCCACACTGACCATTCCCAACTCCACCAGATCCCTCAGCACTGGGTCACTCCGACTCTTCAACCCCTCCAGGGATGGGGACTCCCCCCCTGCCCTGGGCAGCCCATTCCAACGCCCAACAGCCCCTTCTGCACAGAAATCCTTCCTCAGAGCCAGCCTGACCCTGTCCTGGTGCTGGTTCCTTGGTTCGGGAGACTCAACCCCAGCTCTCTGCACCCTCCTGTCAGGGAGTGGTAGAGAGCCATGAGGTCTCCCCTCAGCCTCCTCTTCTCCAGACTAAACCCCACCAGTTCCCTCAGCTGCTCCTTGTAAGACATGATGATGATGGGGCAACTGCAACCTCTGACATGTCAGTAAATTTTGAAAGATGGAATGCTTATCCATCTGCTTGTTTTGCTGAACTTGCAAATAGCCACACTTCCCCCTCACAAGTCAAATATCCATTTATCCTTATGATAAGCACATTTTAAAAAGCTCCATTTAAAGGCTCATGATTCTGTGTGAAATCAACAGTTCAAGTTTTAGCTGAGATGACTTCTGGTGTCCTTCAGCCTTCAGTTGTGGAGACTACTGCTCAGGGGTTGTTTCACTCCTTGCTGGCATCCTTGCTGCAGCTCGAGCAATGCACTCTTGGGGCTCAGAGAGACCCCTTGGGAGCTTATCCCTGACAGGAAGACTGCACGAGGGCTGCCATTCTAACAGTGTGTCAACTGTCTCTTGAAATACTGATCAATGATGTAATTTTTGCCATTGTTTCAAGCACTCTTAGCCATCTGGCATGCCTGCTAGTCTTTCCTGCCCTTCTCAGCTGTGCTGTACCACATACATTTTTTACACCAGTTAGGCTCAGTCACCGAAGAATTTCACCAGCATTCTCTGTTTCTCATTGCTTATAGCAAGAAGTTTGCATTTTTAATCAAAAATGAGAGAATTTCAAGAACAGGTGCTAAGTGCAGTCGTTGCTGCTGTCTCTGTATTTTGTTTCTGATTCAGCATTGTTGTCAGCTACTGAAACAGCAAACTTCACACAGCTATGACCTAGCAGATTCTCTTGCTTTTTGAAACACCTCCCAGAAGTGATTAACTTGCAAAGGCTGTGGCTGAAGGTGACGGATGCTTCATGTTTAACAGAAGAATTGCAGGTTGACCTACTTTCAGCTCGAGCACTGGCAGAAAACTGGACTAGGCTTTTGTTCTTAGCCTTAACTCTAGATGAAGTTGCCTGATCCCCAGCCATCACTAATGAGTGTGGATGTTGGCTACATTTAGAAAAGAGATCTAGAAGACAATGGGTCAGCTTCAGAACTCAGTTTCTCATTGTGTAGAATGGGCATGAATGCTCATTTCATGAGGATGGGACTTGGGTAATAAGCTTTTATAAAACCTTGAGTCATGTGAAATGGTCTAAGACACTATGATTTTCATAATTGTTAAAATGATATAGAAGTCTCAGAATCAAGCTTTCATTCATATATCCCTAAAGTATCATTGAGAAATCATGTAATGTGATTTTTTTTTTTTCTTAAATCACCCTGTTTAAACTTTTCTGGACTGCAATAAAATTGGATGTCTTGTAATTATTATAAAAGGTCTCTGCTTGGTGCTATGCCAAGCTTCTTAGCAAGAAATGCTGATGTTCACATCCTCATTGATAAATGCTGTAGAGATACAGTCCTTGTAGTCAGGTGGTGATCACAGCATGAATACTCTGAGTGGGTAGAGTTTGTGTACAAGTATTTGTGTAAAAAGGGGAAATCAATGAGTGTAGAAATGTAGAATTCTCCATGCAATGTCTGTTCTTTCTATAACCAAGATATACATGTGATACTCTGCAACTGGTACAGCACATTCTTATGTCTAGGTCTGTTTCAAAAGCCCTTGTGAGAGTGTGTGTATACATGTTATATATGCATATAAGCTGGTTTGTGTGTGTACTTATATAAAAATAAAAGGCAGCGTTTGAGACAGAGATCTAATCTGGATAAAAGAAGAGATTGCAGTAAGAAAATTAGCACCAAAGCATAAAACTATTCCACTCATTCTCTACCGGTAAATAGCTGCTAATGAGAATCGATCCCTCTGATGTTAATGGTTTTACAGCTGCAAAAGTCACTGGCAGTAAGTCCTTGATGGCTGAATGCGAAAAACCCCCAAACAACAGTATTTCAGGACATGTTAAAACAGTTTCAAAATAGAACATTCACAGTACCTTAATGTAGTTGGTTAGTTTGTTATACTTCACTTCTACCATTTGATTTTATTTTCTACTTGTCAAGATCTGGGTCTTTAGTTGTTTGTTGTGATTTTTGGTTGGGATTTTTTTGTGGTTTTCGTTGGGTTTGGTTTTTTATTTCCCAGAGCCCTGTGTACTTTAACTCCAGTTCAAGCCAAAAATAACTGCTTTGATTTAATTTGAGAAGGGTCAGAATGAGACCTCATTAGTAGCTAGAATTATTTTCTGTATTTCATATCAGTTGATGGGTTTTGTTGTCTCCCAGAAGTTCTATTTCCTTCATGGTGGCCCTGTTTGCTACAGTAGGCTTTTACCAGTTCTATCAACACCTTTGTGAAATTTTCCCCCAAGACCAGCCACAGTTTCTAACATTCCTCTCCATTATGGGAAAAGAGAAGGGTGAATCTGCTTTTTGTGGCCTTGTATATTGGATTAAGGTTTCTGAACTGATATTACAGGAGATTGGGCCAAGCGTTGGGAAATCGGGTCTCACTGTGGCTTTCAGCTGGATAATCATATGTTTTTGTAAGAGGCATTTATTTTATTTGACTCTTTTTGGCTATCACATAAGGCTTCACTGTTTTGCGGGATCACAGGGAAAATAATGATCCCAGCTGGTAAGATAAAGGTCATCTTCACCAACACAATAACTATACAGTGTTTTCTCTTATAAAGAATGTTTCTTTCTGTTCTAGGCATAAAGGTCTGAAATTATTTATCCTTAAAACAAGCAACAATACTCTAGGAGAGCTTCAGCTATTTCACAGTAAGTGAAAAAAAAAATTGCAGAGGATTAGATACAAGGCATTCTAAGTTTTTAATTAAAAATAAAGAAGGAACAGTACCATAATAGTAGAAGAGATGCTCCTTCTTGGTTAGCCACTGATGAACTGGAAATCCTTGAGCCTTGCAAAATCTTGCTGCTTTTCCTGTGATATATTTTGGTGTCTGATATGGACTCTCTCAGCAAGTTTGTTTTGCTGTAAGCTTCAGTGAAGGAAGATGATGCTCTATGGGTCTTGGTAAAACTAAAGGAAACAATCTCTTAAGCTTCCATGGGATGAGGCGGGGGGTAATGGGCTGGTGTAATTCTGCTGAATTAATTGAATCAGAAAGACCATTCAGTGTTCACAGGCTCTGGGCCAGTGGAGTTCAACCATTGTGTGGGAAGAACATATTTAGTCTTTTGTGAGGAGGGGAGCCAGAGAGCGGGTGCAATAGTTTGTGCCACATTGGCTGGCCCCAGAAGAGCTGAACTAAGGGATCAGCTGGGGAAATCACATTGTGGGCCTGGGGAAAGTGAAGCATAGAGGATGCCAGTCCTTGCTAAAGTTTTCAGTGTTGTCTCAATATACGTACAGGCACATGTAAGCCTGTAAAAAGGAAAAAGGTGGAGGAGTGAAGAGCAAAGCTCTAAATTAAAGATGTAAAAAATAGGATCAGTTGAAGAGTCTTGTATAACCTAGAAGTTATCTATTTTGAAGCTGTTGCCATGGCTGTGCAACACGTTTGATAGCGGCAGTACAGAATAAGCTGGTAGAAGTGTGAAAATCTCTACAAGTGGTGCCTGCCTGCAACAGATGCTTTGTGGCTTTTGGTTTTGTAATGATTCAGTATTGAGTTCAATATTTCTTTTTTTCTCCTCATTTCATCATTCCAGAAAATGCATCTCCTGAACTGGAATACTTTCTGGGAGGTTCTCAGTTCAGAAATAGTGGAGCAGATGAACCAATGTAAGAACAGAGGCACTTCCAGTGGCATATGCAGTAAAATTAGCAGATCAGGCCTCCAACTTCCCATTCTGCCAATATCATGTCTTACTAACAAGGATGCTTTGCATATTGTTCTGACGTGATTGGACAAGAGGTTAAAGTAAAATGAAATAAAGTGTATGAATGATAAGAATGCAAATGCTGAAAATTTAGTCATTTTAGATAATGTTTTAACTTTTCTTTTTAAGGGTACAGTTTTACTAGCTTCTACCCTGTTTGTCATAAAAGGTAATAGACATTGTGAAGATTAGGTAAGATACGGTGAAAAATGTACGAAAATTTACCATGTTCTACGTAGCCAACTGTGAAGTTTATTGTTAATAAAATTTAAAAAAAAGAGGCTCAAATCACAGCTGAGCCCTTTGTCTCTAGACCAAGCAGAAAATAAAACTTTGACAAAACCCCATGAGAAATTCTTTAAATCCCTTCCCCTTTTATCTCTGCTTCTTTGCCTGGAAACTAATTCATGCTTATTGGAGTTGAAATTCTGCTGGTCTGTCAGCCAGTCAGCATCTGAAAGAAGCGGTGATATTTCAGAACTTCCTGTTTGTTTTTTCTTTTGTTGTGCATTACTAAAACATGACTGGTTTTATCTGTTCAGAGCTTTGTTGTGTGCCATGAACATCCCTCTTTGTACTATCAGATTAGTTTTATTGGGGGATCAAAGTTAAGTGTTTTTCTGTGATTTTTAAATATTCCAGGTATGGAAGCTCAGTTAATAGAAGATAGATATTCAGGTGACTCCTCAGAAATTAGGACAAATACACTAATCTTATGCTAGCTAAGTATTTAGCTCATTTTCTCATAAGATTTTTAGATAATGGCGACTAACTTTGCCTTGAAATTGCTAATTCAAAAAAAGTGCCAGAATGTGCAGGACTTTGAAGCTGAAATTTGTAGGGGTTTGAAGGTTATTAAAAGTGTATGTGGTTTCTAAGCTTTGCCTGTTTCAGGGATATTGAGGGATTATACATTGTTTATCAAAGCTGTTACATATTTGCAAAATGTTTAATTAAATCAAATTTCTGGTTTTGCATTTGTTGACAAAATGCTTTGGCCAAGAGAAGATCCCTAGTTGTTTTCTGAGTGTCTTCAGATAGCTTGAGCTTGTCTCAGAGCCATCAGTACTAGTGAGGAAGTCTGCAGCCAGTCCCGCTGTGTCGGGTAGCATAATTTTTGGAAACCCTCTCATTGATGGAGTAACGGTTCTCTCACCAGAAAGAGGTGCTATACCATCATGGTAAAGGATGGGGACGAGGGGCAAGCCAGGTAGTTACTGTGCTGGAAAACTGCAACCTAGAAATTACTGTTGTGACTCATTAGATGATTTCATCTGGAAACAGAATAATTATATCCTGTCCCCACCTGTTTTACTTAGGAGAAGGACTTGAACCACTAGCGTGTTTGACAGCTAGGTGACCTTTTAGTGAAGTACACGGCTGCGTCAGCTCTGGTTCAACAATAGAAGAGCATGAATTCATTTAATACCAGTATTACGCTGGAGGTCCTGCTATCCTGGCTTGATCTTTGCTTTGGTTTCCATTTGTGTTTTAGTGCTATGCTTGTAGCCTGTGTGCTGGATACAAAATTGTGGGACACATCTCATCAGTCCTGTCGGTGGAGAGATGCTTCCCATTTCATGAGACTTTAGACTCAAACCTGATTTCGTTAGTTAAGACCTGATATTCCCCAAATTGCCTAATCCATGCATGGCTGTTAGACAGTGGTGAAGGTGACACAGCTTCCATCAACATGTGCTTGAGAAGCATTGATGTATCACTGTGACTGGAGCATCAGTGGGTCCCATTTCAGTGGTCTGCTGTACTGTGCAATGATTGACATGCCTCACGTGAAATGCCTGGTTTCATTTTGGACTTTGGCTCTTTACAAAATCATCTCGGTTGAAAAGACTTTGAAGATCATCCAGTCTAACCATTAACTTCACACTGACTTTTCAAAACTCCACCATATTCCTAAGCACTTTCATTGCAGCCTACACCATTACGGTGAAGTTCTGCATTATCCTGCAGGATGGTGGGAAAACTGGACATGTGGGGTTCTCCTTAAGAGTATTTTCAAGCAAAATGAGTGCTTACTGCTGAGAATTAATGTAAGCCAAAATGCCTTGCTAACATTTTTTTTTGTCTTGCTTTTCATCTTGCTAAACATTTTTTTTTACTGAGAATAAATTAGGTCAGTATCAATGTAGCTTCTGGAGTGTGCAGACACAGCTGAAGGTTGGTGCTTTGGTGAAGAAGAAAGGAGTTTGAAGATAAGATGGTAATAAATAAGACAGTTGGGGCCTATTCGTGAAGATAACAGAAACAAGGATGGGACAAATTAAAACAAACCAGCTCAAGACACAGCTGCACAACACCTCCTAAACAGACCTTTGTGAGCATGTGTGAGCACGGAGGGAACTAGCAGACACAGTGAGGAAGACTACGACGAGCACCAGGGACCCCTGGAGACCACCACCCACCAGGAAAGCACATGTGTAATTAGGATGCAGATATTGTAATTAGTTCCAGGAAATCTAATGCATATGTAACTAATTTCTCACCAAAGTTATGAATATGTATAATGGCCCTGTGTATTAGCTACTACTTATAGATCTGGGGCACACTCACCTTTCTGAAGCTATTCTGCTTTCTAACACTCCAAAATGAGTCTTAGAGAGTTCCTCTGCCCGCTTTTACGGTAACATTATGTGCTGATTTCCAGTAAGTCTAACCTGCAGTGAGGAGTATGGCTGTACAAAAAATCCTATGTGTAGAGGAAAGGGAGAATATGCAGCAAGCAAAAAAAGAAAAATTAAGCACAGAAGAAAGAAGATAAATGAGTACAGTGAGGTAAAAAAAATATATATATATATTTATCTGTGTGTCACTGTGACAGCTGCTAAACAGATGCTTGAAACAAAGGAAGAGAGGAAAAGCTCAGGGAAGTTTGTGTTACATTTATTAATATGCCTGCCTTGCATTGTGTTCCGTGGCAGAAAAGGTCTATGGGCATGACTGACTGGAGGAGAGGGAGTTAGGCTGAAAAGACGTTTCTTTTTACTTGAGCTGTCTACACATCTGCATGCTCCGTACAGCCATAGGCCTTCAGATCTCTGCCCACAAGAGAGTGGTGTTGAGCCATCCACTTCCATACCAGGTATGAGGGTTCAGTTTACAGGGTTTTTTTAATGTGAAGTACTTTTTAACCTCAGTGCTAGTTCTGACTCAGAAATAAAGTTTGACTTTTCCATCAGCTATGCTTTAACCTGAAATGAAAAAATGCAAGCAAATTGGTATTCAAGTGGAGTTTTTAGAGTAGATAAAGAAACTGCATGTACACTGGCTACTGCATCACCCTCTGCAACTCCCTGCCAGGAGGGTGCAGAGAGGGGGGATGAGTCTCTGGAGCCAAGGAGCCAGCGCCAGGCCCCGAGGGAATGGCCTCAAGCTGCCCAGGGCAGGGTCAGGCTGGCTCTGAGGAAGGATTTCTTTGCAGAAGGGGCTGTTGGGTGTTGGAATGGGCTGCCCAGGGCAGGGGGGGAGTCCCCATCCCTGGAGGGGTTGAAGAGTCGGGTTGACCCAGCGCTGAGGGATCTGGTGGAGTTGGGAATGGTCAGTGTGAGGTTCATGGTTGGACTGGAGGAGCTTCAAGGCTTTTCCAACTGAGACGATTCTGTGATATTGTACCTAGCTTATGTGTCCCTGCTTTTTCTTTTTTTACTGGAGGGGAGAAAAAAGAACAAAACAACAGACATGAAACAGTTTAAGCCTGATTACAGTCAGGGCTGATCATGCAGTGCGGATGTGCATGTGCCGTGGCTTCCCAGGTTGTTGCAGATCATAGTCTGCCAGATGGTGTTGATAGGGCTCTAAGCATATCTCTGGTTGCCTGTTAGTTATTAATTAACAGCTGATCAGGAAATTAAGGGAAGTCTCTGTGCAACTTCCTTACCAAATGCTGCACCTGAAGGCTTTTGTGAGCCTGTGAAACAGCCTTCATTTAGGCTATCTATATTTAGGCTATCTAGATTCTCAAAAGACCACAACCTGTAGCAGCTCCCATTGGAAATGTTGGCAAGTACCACTTGTCCTTTCCAATTCAAAATAATAGCTTGGGTTGGTGTGGACCATAGAGGCATTTCATGGGGAGTTTAATTTTCTTGAGAGTTAACCAGCTAGGAAAACTGATTGGAGACAGTGCTGGGGAAAGGAGGCAGCTGGTGCCTCTGACCTGCTCTGTTCAACCTCACTTCAGCTGCGTTGCACCAAAGGAATACTGTGAGGGGTTTTCTGGGCCTTATTCTTGAGGAGGCAGGAGAATATCTAGGTATGCTGGTGTATGGCCAGTCTTTAGGCACCTTATGGTTGCTATTCTGATAGGGAAGTTTGCCCAAGCATTTTTGCATGCATTGCTTTCTAAATTGGTTTATCTACTGAAAATAAATCACTGATAATTTATATACACATATGTTACATCCTCTGGACTATGTAATATTAGTACATTATTCCTTCCTTCTCTTTTACCTCAAAAGAAAGAAAACTTTACTGCCTTCTGAAGGCTCCTTGTTCTGAATTTGTTCTGAAATTTTTATACTCTTAAAAATTTAATTTCAGCACAGCTTTTTTGACTCTAAAAGCTGCCTTTCTAAATTAGAGATCAGCAATTTCCGGACTTC